TATATATATATATATTTGAATTTGCTATGAGTAAGTCTTTGAATTATGATTCAACAAAACATACTTTACGGATAAGGTTATCTAATTGAAATCTTAATAGGTGTTAAATGAAAACTATTTTTAAATTCATGGGTAGATAATATTAATAACTAAAACTAAAATTAAATATATCATATTGGAAGCAAATTATAAGTAGTTCGAAATCACTATTTCTTACAAGTAAAACGCTAAATAAAAATATTATCTAAAAGTAGTATAGTAAAAAATGCATATAAGAGGATGACAGGGATTATGTGAGGAATTTATGATTATGAATAATTTGTAAAACAAATAAAGTAAATAATTATTGTTTACCCTAGAATCCGGATAACAATTGAATTTATATGGGGTTTTAAGGATCTGTGAACTAAAAGATACAAAAGGTTTGGATTGAGGAAAATAAAAGATAAAGACTCAACAATTGCTGTTAAAGTAAATAATCGCAGAATATAATATTGCTTAGAACAATTGTGCTTGATAGCGTACAAGAATTGAGAGAGATGGTACTGTAGTGTAATGGTTTCCGATCCCCTCTTTATGGGGTCTTCTCCCCTTTTATACATTCTGATTAAGGGTAAAAATAAGGTAGGTAAATTAATTACATCGTGGCTCCCTGTAATTACGCCTTAATGGCCTGAAGTGGTTGAGAAAATCACGTTTGTGCGAGATATCCGGCGACGCTTGGTTATCCGTTACGAGTCCGGCTTCCGACCTTGTGTGTTTCTGCATCCGGTGGTGACTCATATCGAGCTCTGCAACGGTCTCGAAATGACTCGACCTCGGTTGTAGACGTGGCCGTCGTTCTACCTTGCATCCAGGTCGGGTTCGATGGCCCCGACTTGCCCCGGACCGGACCCAACCCGGTCGGGCTCAAGCAAAAAAGGGTATCACCCAATACAAAACTACTTGAGCTTTACTCCATTACATAGTTCAGTTCAAAGTGTTGCACAGCAATGAACTGGACCAAAAGAAGATGAGAGAAGGAATATGTATGTTTGACAGATCAAATCCCTGCAGCTTTTGAGAGAACTAAGAATCTCTTTAGCCTCTTACATTAACAAAAATTTTAATGAGTAAACTGGCTCAAAATTCTTAGTTAGACATCACCTAAACTAGTACTCATAGATCTAAGGACACAGCATTCTACCCATGTTCTTGGCAAATTGCAACAGAAAAACTAAAATGGGAGGAGCAAGGCAGGTCTAGGCAAGTCAAAAAGAGGTGAAGCTGCTAAAGGGGGCAGGGTATGGCAGGTTAAACTTTTAGCTCGGAAAAGCTTAACCCCCAATGTCCCACCCCGCCACGGCCCCTTTGCCATCTCTAGTCATTGTAACAATTACTTTCAAGTTGCAAACTTTCCCTCACAACTTGAATCCTGTGGTTGATAAAACTGTCTACTACTGACCAACTGAGCCTATTTGGATATGTGACTAGCCTGCTGAGATCGTTAGGCAACAGTGAAACAACTCTTTCTTCAACAAACGAACATAGCAGAGAAGAAGCCAATTGGAAAATTCCATATTACAAAATTTTCCCTTGGTATGTTTGCATAAATGAATAAAGGTTCAGATGGCTTGCATATCAGCAGCCATTGACAATGGGAATTCCACAACACACAGAATACTTCCCTAAATGCACACAAATTGTTTTACATTGCAAGGTGATCTGGATTTTATTAACTCACCTTCATCTATATTTGGTACCTTCCAAAGTTATTCGCTAAGGCACAATTAACAATTAACATATTTCACACATACATACTAAAAGAGAATACACATGGATTCATACAACTGCAAACTGAGATGAAAGATCACAAGGAGGACAAAAGAACATCCTAAATATGGTCTCCATTGTTGTTTCTGCAGCTTCTTTATTGGTGCATCTTGTTAAATTTTCAAGGGAATTTATGGTGCGCAATGGTCTCCTAGGACTAAATTACACCATCATTCATAAGGTTAAATATATACAGAGCATAAAAGACATTAGAAACATCAATCCATATTCCTTCCTTCGTCTGTAGCCAAAAAAGTGTACCTGCATTCTCCATAATGCTCCATGTTGTGAATAGTCAATACAATTCTCGGTTTCTGCAGAGGATGTTAATGCTTAAAAGTTAAAACTATAGAAATATAGATCTGCTCCAGATCAATTAAGGGAATGAAAACGGAAGCCCCTAGACCACACCTGGAGTGAGAGAAATTGGTACATATCCCAGTAAAACAGAGGTAAAGCACCTGTCTGCCATTCATGTACATGAATGATATCAGGTTGTGTTCCTGTTACCTGTTGACCAGTAAAATCAGTCACAACCTTGTTTGCATACACATCAACTCAGAAAACCGGAGCAGCTTTGAAACATTCGGACATCAAGAACCTACTAAATTGAGGCTCCAATTAATAACTAAACTTAAGACTAAAGTTGATTGAGGCAGAAAACCATATTGGCATGCCACCATCACATAAAAATTCCCATGGTTGTCCAAAGATTTGCATAAGTGTATATAACTAGCATGCGATCAGATGTAGCTCAATAACTGATGGTTAAACACATTAACCCAAAAATATTTCCAATAGAATTGTCAAATTGGAGTAAGTGTACATAGCTAGCATGAGATCAGATGTAGCTCAATAACTCATGGGATTAAACACATTAACCCAAAAAAGTTTCAATAGAATTGTCAAATTGGAGTAAGTTTAATCTTTTTATACATGTACTATGAAGCAAATTTATAACTTATGGGCTGTATTACCTGCATCAATTCAAGGCAAGCACGGCTGAAAAACAAATATGCCTCTAACTCATTGTATGACCCTCCATATATGTTTGTTCCCTTGAAAAAGTGGTTGGATGGTTCAATAAGTATCACCGGAACACCTGAAACTTCCCCTCGATATGCATTACAGGCTACCCAGTTTCCGTCAAGATATGAGTTGTAAGTTTTGATCAAGGCTAGCTCATCAATTAAATGCTTAGGAATACATTCATAGAAAGGAAGCATGACATCAACTTTATGGCCACGCTTTAAACAGGTACGTCCAAGTCCCGTTACAACGTCACCTAGACCCCCTACTTTTGCTATAGGTGCCATTTCAGCTGTCACATGAACAATGTGCAATAGATCAGCATCCTTTTCCACTCCAGCAGGATCATCCGAGCTGAGGTCCCAAAATGGAAACTCTCTTTTCCAGAAGGGAATTTCATCATTTGGAGAAGGCCAGCTAAGACCTTCAGTCTCACAATCAGCTAACTGTGAGAAAACAAATTGAAGTCCAAGACATAATTGAAAAATGAAAGAAATACTTGATGCCACACTTAACCCAAAAACCAAAAAAAAATCCTTTTTTTCCTTTTCAAGATTCCCCTTTTTATGATGTTGGTGTCCGGGCCAACTTCCACACACCTCGACTGTTCTACGGGGTACCTTATACTGCCCACCAGCACAGAAACCATGTAACTCTGCCCACCAAGGCTTAGACAGATGGAAATATATTACCTCTTTCCAAGAATTATTAACAGAAGGTATTCTAAGTCCTACTACATTTTTTAATTCAAGCGTTTCTACTTTCCTATACATAATTTTCTACTGATTACTGCCAATAACAATTAATATATTCTATTTATTTACCTTATCAAAAAAAAACACTTTGCTAGGGAATTTGACTATCATCAACAAACTTCTCTAGAAATTATGGTACTAAAAGCCCGGTTTGGACATAAGAGTTCTTTCACTTTTTTCGAAAATTTTTCCTTTTTTTGCGAAATCAATGTTTGTCCATAAAATTTCCAATTTTCACTTGAAGATGAATTTTGGAATTTTTCGAAAATTTGAAAAACTCCAACAAGCTGTTTTTCAAAATTTTCACTCAGATCACTCACCAAAATTCAAAAACAAAACCAAAATTATATTTATGTCCAAATACAACTCTAATTTTCAATTACCATTTTCACTTGCAAAAAAATTTCTCTTTTTTTTGAAATTTTACAATTCTTTGGTCCAAACCCACTAAAATATTTAAAAGAAAAAAAGGGAGCCCGGTGCACTAAGCTTTCGCTATGCGCGCGTCCGGGCCGGACCACAAGGTCTGTTGTATGCAGCCATGCCTTACCCTATGATAATAAAATATACATAAAGAAAATCAAAAAAGGGTCTAGCATGAAACAAGAAACGATGGTGGAATTTACTTCACCTGAGCATCAATTTGAGGAGAAAGTTGAATCTTGAAATTGCGGGACTGGGAGTAGAAGCATTTTTTGAAGAAGTAGGATTGTTGCTTCAACAGAATGGCCTTACTGCTGATATTGTAGCATGAAACGTACTTGATACTATTGCTAGAGTTTCCATTAGGCGCAAAAGATGATGGGAAGGACAAGCAGGAAGTGAAATCCATGGCCATTATTGACATATATTTGCGTTCAACAGATACAAACACTACCAAAATGTGGAGTGCAACGAAAGTATATACTTAGTGTACACTATAGATATCCAAGTCGATTTGCCGGGGGGTGGGGAGAGTGACAACTGACAAGTAAACAGTGAATCTTGGTGTGTGTGTGAGTGTGTGTTGGGGGGGGGGGGGGGGGGTGGGGGGGGGGTTTGAAGCTGATAGGTTGGGCCAACAATATTAACTTGAATGTACCTTTATTCTGCAATTTGCACCTTAATTTGACAACTTTCCAAATTGGACAGACTACTTGTTGACGGTTCGTTTTTTGTATGTTCAAAAATATCATTTCTTTTTTCTTTTTGAAAGATATTTAGCCCTTAGTATAGTGATATCTCTTTATATACAGCATCTCTGTAATAATTGGTTAAAATAGTACAGGTACTAACCAGTTTTTCGGACGGTTATTCAAAAATAATCAGTGTTTGCCAAAAAAGTTATTGAGAAAAATAGCCACTATTTTGTTACAAGAACAGAGATCAGTCAACATATATGCTGAGTTCGGTGCATTTGTGTATGAACATTCCAGCATAATTATGCTGGAGTAGTATTCCTAAATACCGTGAGTTCCCAGTAATCTTTGCTAGAAACTCCAGTATAAATAATACTGGAGTTCCAGTATATTTAGCTGGAATTCCCAGTATATTATGCTAAAAATATTTTTCGAATTTTTGAACAGTATTTTGGGTTCAGATTTAATCTTTACATGAAAGTGCTAAATCGAGCTTGTCGGTGGCGGTAGCTTGACTTTTGAAAACTGTGGCTATTTTTGAATGACCTACCGTTGTAAATCTAACTATTATTTGAAATTTTCCTGTATAAGTGTAGAATAATCAGTCATTCACTATAGAAATCAATTTTTCTCAGAACCAATTTTTTAAGTTATATTTATTACCTCTCTATAACAGTTTTTTACTACTAACAGCAACAACCGCATATTTTGGTTTAACCAAAAAATTAGATTTTTAGGTCAAAGTTTGAAATTAATAGAAGAACTCGGGTTACTAATAATCGGAAAAGTATATAAGAAAGAGAGATATTTAAATAATATAATCAGAAAGCAATAAAACAAAGTATATTCCAGTAGTGTTTTTTTTGTGTCCACAGTCTGTTTGTGACTTTCCTTTTTATAGCTGTTTTGGATACAGATTTTCCCTTTTGTATAATAAGTACAATTATGGGTAATAATGCATTAAATGTTTACGTTGCAATCATATACATCAATACATATTCTCTTACATTTCTAGTATTTATACATCAATTAATGCTTGTATCTGGGCTCTTTTTTTTGCTGTCAGATTTCGTTCCTTTGTCTCTTCTCGATCTTTGACCTTTGAAATCTTGAATAGGTTACGACGTTGAATTATTTTATGACCTGCTCTGTGCCTTCTTCAGTTTAACTTGCTCGTATCTGTTGTTGCTTCGTGTCTGTTGTTGTCGTATCTGTTAACCAACGCTTTATTCTTTGACTGTTTGACCAATCTATTAACGTCATGACAACTCACGCATAGTGACAGTAAATATAATTTTTTCCCCATACAAGAATGTCCCCCATCTTTCCCATTTATTCATCAGTTTGAAATATTTGGGAAGTGGAATTCATTAAGGGAGATTTTTGTACCATTAACGTTCTGGACAGAGTTGACGCTTTAATTATCACATTCATTTAATGCTTTAAGAACACGTTGTCATCTTCTTATTGGTTTCCACAGTTTACAACACTTTTTCAGGCTGTCTTTTCGGCTCCACTGTTCATGAAGTCTCAGTTACCATTATTGTGCATCCTTCCATTGACTGCGTTTTTACTTTTGACGGTCGCCGCATGCCAGTATAAGATTCATTTTCCTTTCACTTTCTAAGCCAGACATAGACTTTTTCCTTGAACACTTGATTGTGGCGAATCTCTGTTTTTTACTTCTCTTTTCTTTTCCAATCATGTCTTCTTCGATACCTCTAACCCTAAGAGAGTTCCTATTTTAGACAATTTTCCGCAAAGGGTGCCCTTGTCTAGACATAGAAGAGGTGGGAGACTTACGTAGCTTAGGATCCTCTGCGGTGGTGGTTCTGTCGTGTCCTTCTCCTAGCCCTGGTTCTTCCTCTAGAATAGAGGTTTCTTTTACTCAAAAATCATCTTCATAGAAAAAGGAGGCCTCCGAACCATTACAGGAACCCTTGTAGAAGAAATAAGTCCGTAAACGATTTATCTTATTTCAGCATGATAAGACGAATCACTTTTCAGAACCAAAATTTCTGGTTTGGATCGTGTTGATGCTTACCCTACTATGATTAAGAGATTTTAGGCTCCCATAGTTCGCAGAAAGATTGTCATGAGTAACGATTTCCCATTGTACATCCCAATCCAAATCAAGAGGATTACTCTAGTATTGACTGGATTCTCTTCTCTTTTTACACGATACCCTTTTACTCTTGGGTTTAAACAGCTATCGACCCAGTACTTCTGCCGATTTCTGTGTTTCTTCAAAGTTTGTTTAGCACAGGTTGGCCCGCTTGTATGGAGGGCTGTTGCTTTGTTTAAGGATCTGGCCATTTGGCAAAACGTTGATTTCACCTGTCACGCCACCTGATTTCAATCTATACTGCCCTTAGACTTTTTCGTAATGGCGTCTTTACCTTAGTGGCTAGGAGTAAGTTAGGATTTTGGTAGGCCCAGAAGATAAGAATAAGGATTGTGGCTGGTGTGACCCGATTTGTTGGCTGATCACAGTTGGTTTTAGTGGGTGAAACAAAACGTTCCCTTCCCTGAGAAAGGGAACTTTGCACACGTAAGTCTCTCGATCTCTCCGTACCTCTTTCTTTCAGAATTTTTACAAATTTCCTTTAACTCTTGTTTTCTCTTATTTTTTTTTAGGCAACCATGGGAGTTTTGTGAGAAAATTCCCCATTTTCGTGTTGGGTAGATAAATTGTTGAAGATCGGCTCCTATGGGAGGCTAGGTTCTGGAATTTATTTCCAATCTCATGGTTGGAAACGTAAGACCTCAACGGTATGAGTTTTTTGTCTTTCTGCGTTATGTAAGAATTTATTTCTCTTTATGTGCCATTAACTTTTTAATTTTCTCTTTGTGCAGATTTTTGCTATTCGAGGTGTTACTGCTGAAGCAGTTGTAGCTGCTGTGTCTAGGAACCCAACTTTTCTTAAAGTGGCTCAGATATATTCTTTCTGAAAAGAAAAATACCACAGACATGATGAGCTCCGACGAAGAAGGAAGAGGATGGTTGCCTTGGTGAAAAGGCCAAGAGTTCCGGAGACGTATCGGTCTATGATGAAGCCTGAAGTTTCCTCATCTTTTCTCCTACGGGCCTGTTAACCTATCGTCTCTGATGAATGTAGTGTATGCACCGCTCATGATAACTCATGAGTCGAATTAACCAGCTTATTCATTAGTGGTTTTTGAGAGTGGCGAGTTAGGACCCGTTTATGGAGAACCTCCCCTATCTTCTTCTTCAACTCACCATATCTTTCAAGTTCTTCCTTACCTTCTCTCTGTCGTCGCTTTTGGTTCCTTCTTATCTGCTCCAATTCTTCCGCACCTCCCGTGCTGTTTTTTACTTCTTTACCGCTCCTCTTCTACTGTCCACAATGTAGCAGCGGGTTTACAAGCAAAAGGATTGCTATGAGACGTGACTATCGAAGTGCCTGTTAAACAACAGCCTTTTGAGGAATCTGGTCAGGCGGATGTTTGGCCTTGAACCTTTAATAGGCCAATTGAAATGGAATAGGCCATAGCTGGGCTGCTCTTGATGAACGACATAGTTCGTTATCCACCTGAAGGTATGCCCTTCTATCTCTTAATTTGTCAGAAATTTTTCTAGATTCTAAATTTTTCTTTCTTACATTTTTAGGCCAAACCTTAATTGGTACAGAGCTGATGAGTAGAAATTTCTTATATTAGAAAAGGTGGGCACGTGATCCTGAAAAGGCTGTTCTTGATTCAAGAGAGGGAAGCTCGTGACTGTTCAGTTAGAAGCAGCTAATTGGAAGGATTCAATTTGATTAGTGCTCAAATAACAATAGAAGATTACAAGAGAGTAAGAATAACTGGAATCACAGGTCGAGAGCATTAACTTCAGAGCTTTGCGGTTGTAAGGCTTCATTCAAGTCCAGGCTGAGAAAGAAAAGAGAGCGTCTCGAGTCTTTCTTTCTTCAGCAACATTATCTAAATCAAGCGAGAGATTAGAGAGGTTGAGAGCTTTTTTAAGTCCAAAAAGAAGTTTATGCTGGACAGATCTTGATTGCAGAATTTGACTCCAAGACCAAGAAATTGGCCGAACTTCTGAAGACCAAGGTGAAAGGCTTAGAAAATCTCATGCCTCTCTCCAAGCGCTCTTATTAACTCAGCTCTGAGTGAAAATGAAGGTCTCAAAAAATGAAATTGTGTGCTTGGGAAAGAGATTATAAGCTTCTTGAAGATAAGGGCTGCAGTTGATGTAATGCTGGGCTTTTCTGAACTCCTGTCGTGATGCCTTAAGTTGAAGCAGCCAAGAAATTAATCTGGAGTCAGAGTTAGCCTAAGGTTGATGGAGACTATTAAAAAAGCTCACAACCATTGGGACTTCCCTTTCTCCCGTGAGTTGAAGTTTCCGAAGCTGAAGCTACGGAGTGATATTCCCGTGGGTGAAGTTCCGGTGAGTGCAGGCTATCCCTTAACTGAAACTCTCTGCGGTTGAAAGTCCCCAATGACGACCGCTGGAATTGCCTCGGGTGATGCACCCTCTTCAACTCAAATCGTGCCCCTTATTGCCAAGTCAAGTTGAAACTTTCATCTAATGTGATACTACCAATGGTTTGGAAATCAACCCACTCTGTTGGCGAGCTGTTCCCAGCTTGAGCCGCTGAATGAATCCTTCTTCAAATCCTTCCCTCTTAAGTGAAGAAAAAAAAAATTTATATCTGTTTCCTGAATTCCCACTTTTTGCAGGTACCTATTGGAAAGCAGTATTTAAAGCTCTTGGGTTCAATTTGAGAGTTTTTGTAATCAAACCCCTTGCTATCACTTAGAGGTTGGATCTTTTAGAGTACAAAGTCCCAAGTCTTTTAGGGGCATTATTGTATAAACAATTCCGATGACTAAGTATAGTACTTAGTACT